TCCACGGGCCAATGCTCTAACCACTGAGAAAACTGGCCAGGGCTCATGGAAATTTTTAAACAAGTCTAAAACAAGCACAAATTCCACCTAACTCATTTTTCACTTGCACTATTGGGGACCAAATTGTGTGACTTTGAGGTGAGCACCATTTTCCCCCAAAAAGCCCTGATAAGCACCACCATTCCTGTGCAGAGTCCTCCCATTACACAGCCAAATTCTAATTTCTTGTAATCTGATGAACTCTAATGGTCCCACCCTGATGACTCTGTAATACCCCACCCCACCACAAAGATCCACAGGGTCCAGGTGGTAGGGAGTGGGCCTTGGTGTACCCTGAGACTTTTGCTGAGTAACTCAGACCCAAAACTGGTGCTGAGTTTTAATCTGTATCAACCTAGTAAACATCACTAGCCCCTAACCTGGTGACTCACTGAGAACCTGCCTCACATAACTCTCACACTGCCAGAGGCACTTTCAGTACCTGAGCCCAACTGATAGCCAGCAAGTGGAGGTGGATCTCGGGTACCTTGGGCCTTTTGTTCACCTGCCTCAGGCATGCTACTGGTAGAAGCCAGCCTCGATATGTAGCCTGGCCCCTCCTATGCACACCCAGGCTCAGCAGAGACAGCCACCAACTGTGGATTGCTTTGTAACTCCTAACAGGTGGCCCATGGCTGGTCACAGGCAACATCTGACATTCATGTGCACTAGAGTCCCTGCCAAGAGGCTCTAGAGCCAACAAACCTGATGGCTGGCTCCAGACCAAATCAGAGCACAATCTGACTCACTCCACAAGGAGCATACCCAAAGGGAGATCTCAGCAGGCATCAGACCCTGCTGGGTCAAATTCCACTTCATGGGGTCAGCTCCCATATAGCAGCTCATTTGCGGTAATGGTTGACATTAATCCTCCCAGCCAGCCAGCCTGAGGGACAACCCCAACACAGATGGGCCAACAGCAATAAAGACTCAAATACAATAGGAGAGCTCACATAACCCACACAGGGGACATTTCTGGAGCACCTTGCTCAGGTGACCTGAGAGACTGCACCACTGAGCTCCTCAGGATACCTACTATATATGGCCACCCTACAAAGACTGGGGAACATAACACATCTACTGGTTACACAGAAACAAATACAGTGAGACAGTTAAAATGGAGTGAGAAAAAAAAAATGTCCCAAATGAAAGAACAGAAGTCCCCAGAAAAAAATACTAAATGAAATGGAGCCAAGCAATCTACCAGATACAGAATTCAAAACAATGGTTATAAGGATGCCCAAGGAACTTAGTGAGAATTTCCATGGAGATGACAATCATAGAAATGGAAATAGAAACCACAAAAAAGAATCAGTGAGAAATAAAGAATACAATACTTGAAATGAAGAATACATTAGAAGGAATCAACAGCGGACTAGATGAAGCAAAGGACTGAATCCACGATTTGGAACATAAGGTAGCAAAAAGAAAAAATAATTTTAAAAAATGAAAAGAGCCCTGGCCGGTTTGGCTCAGCGGTTAGAGCGTCCGCCTGCGGTCCGGAGAGACCCGGGTTCGGTTCCCGCTAAGGGCATGTACCTCGGTTGCAGTTTGTCCCCGGCCCTGGTTGGTCGTGCGGGTGGCAGCCACTCGATGTGTCCCTTTCACGTCGATGTTTCTCTCTCTCTCTCTTCCTCTCTCTCCCTCCCACTCTGTCTGTACAAAAAATGGAAAAATGTCCTCGGATGAGGATAAAAAAAAAAAATGAAAAGAGTTTAAAGGACCTCTGGGACAACATCAATTATAACAAAATCCACATCATAGGGGTACCAGAAAAAGAAGTGAACAAGGGATTAAGAACTTATTTGAAGAAATAATGCCTGAAAACTTCCCTAATCTGGTGAAGGGGAAAGACACACAAGTCCAGGGAGCACAGAGAGTTCCAAACAAGATGAACTCAAAGATGCCTATACCAAAACACATCATAATTAAAATAGCAGAAGTTAAAGACAAAGAGAGAATCCTAAAAGCAGCAAGAGAAAGATAGTTAGCTAACTACAAGGGAGCTTCCATAAAACTGTCAGCTGATTTTCTTATAGAAACTTTGCAGGCCAGAAGCAATTGGCATGAAATATTCAAAGTGATGAAAAACAAAGACCTACAACCAAGACTAGTATACCCAGCAAGGCTATCATTTAAAATTGAAGGAGAAATAGAACTTCTCAGCAAGAAAAAGCTAAAGAAGTTCATCACTACCAAACAAGAAAAGTTAAAGCGTCTTCTTTAAGAAAAGAAAAAAAGAGAAACATAAATATGTATAATAAAATGGTAATAAATATGTACCTATCAATAATCACTTTAAATGTAAATGCTCCCATCAAAAGACATAGGGTGAGGTGGGTGAAGATGGCAGCGTCAGTAAAAGCAGTATCTCCTCCTCCCACAATCACATCAAAATTACATCAAACTACAACACAACCATCATTCAGAACCCCATGAAATCAAGCTGAATGGAAGTCCTACAAGTACAAAATTAAAGCAGCTGCATCGAGACTGGTAAAAGGAGTAGAAGCGCAGACAGGCTGTCCCATAGCTACGTGTGGCGGATAAAAATCAGGAGGGATACCTTGTCTGGGAAGACCCTCCCTGAGGAGTGAAGGGTCCTCATCCCACACCAGGCACCCAGCTCAGGGTCCCAGGGCCAGGAAGAAAAGTCCCCATAACTTCTGGCTGGAAAAAACCAGCGGGAACTGAGGCAGGGGGAGGCTGCGGCTGCAGAAGCCCCAGCAGTTTCTCCTAAAGGGTCCATGCACAGACTTACTCAGCCAGTTCCCTCTGAGCTCCAAAGGGAGGCAGCTTGAGGGGCACCAGAGAACAGGAGAGAACTGAGCTGTTTGGCCTCCTGACAAGGGCTGGAGGGGCAGCTTTCTCCTGGACAGAGGCCATTGTTCCTTTGATGAGCCCTTCCCCCACAGGGCAGGCAGACAGCTGCCATATCTGGGACTCCAGCAACCTGGCTCACACTGTTGGCCCCGCCCTGGTGATTCCCTAAGGCCCCGCCCCACCCAACTTTCAGGCCCACCCAAGCTGTTTCCAAAGGCTTTACCATAGGATTGGCCTGTTTTGAATCCTACTTCAGAGTTTCCTAAAATCTCTCAAACAAGCAGCATCTGGTACCTGAGCCCACCAGTGCACCTGGCACCATCGGACCAGTGGCCACCCTCTGTCAACACAGACCAGTGCACGGTAGTGCAGCTGTCAAGGTGCTGGTTGCGGAAACTGCCAACGGCTGGGAGCCCAGCACCATTCCCCACAGTAGCAACCCGATCAGAGTCAAGATATATCCCCAGCAACAGAGGTTGGGGAGCAGACATCCATCCCCAGGCAACAGAAGCAAGACCAGCAGCAGAAAACCATCCCCAAACACTACAGCAAAGGCTGAGCAGGAGCTGAGCCCCACGGGGCAGCAGCACTCCCCAGCCACCAGCGGTGGGACCGGGGGCTCCATAGGGCTCTGTGCAACACAGCTGCCCACAAGAGTGGTGGGAAGCCAGGGATCCATAGGGGCCTGTGTGACCCAGCGGCCCACAAGAGCAGTGGGAAGCTGCAGATCCAGAGGGTCCTGTGTGACCCAGTGGCCCACAAGAGCGGTATGGAGCTGGGGCTTGAGAGAGGCCAGTCTCAGCAAGCCCCATATTTCTTAAGTGGCCCCAAGCCTGGCACTAGAGGCACCTAGCCTTGGTTCACAACTTGGCTTTTCCTGTACACCTCCAAGCCCAGCACAAGAAGCAGCCATCTGCAGCAGTTCACTTTGTAGCTTATGCCGGGTGGCCCTGGATAGAACACAGGCAGTGGCTGACCTTGCCCCAGAGCCAGCACACCTGGTGGACAGCTTCAGGCCACATCAAAACACTACTACCCAACCACCTCCACAAGTGACACATTCAATGAGTGGACTCAGTGGGTACCAGAGCCCTGCTGAAGTGAGTCTTGCTCTGTGTGGTGGGCCCCTGCACAGCTGATCCTCCAAGGTGGTGGCTGGTGGGCACAGCCAGTCCTTGCAGCTGATCAGCCTGAGTAAACCCTTTCCATTGATGTGCCAAAAGCCATCAAGACTGAATTACAAGAGAAGGGTGTACAGTCCACACTAGGGGTGCATTGCGAGGGCCCAGCTGGGGTGATCAGGGAGACTGTGCCACTGGATCTTACAGGACACCTACAACAGTAGGCCACCCTACAAAGCCTAGGAGGCATAGCAACTCTGCCTAATACATAGAAACAATCATAGGGAAGCAGCCAAAATGAGGAGACAAAGAAACACTGATGTGAGAGACATACATCGATTAGTTGCCTCCCTCATGTACTTGACTGGGGCAGGAGATCAACCCTGCAACCCAGGTACATGCCCTTGACCAGAAATTGAACTCAAGACCCTTTGGTCCAAGGGTTGATGTTCTAACTGCTGAGCCAAACTGGCCAGGGCAGGGCTCTGCTACTTTTTAAAAAATTCAAAATCACCACTTAACCATTTTCCCAACTCTTTGGAGATATGGTTTGGCTTGTTCATTAGCTCTAACAACAGCAGGGGAGAAAAAAACAAAACAAAACAATCTTTTCTACCAGTTTTTATAGTAAGAACAAATAATTGCATAAAAATCATTTGAGTGCCAACTACCTACCAAGCAATATGTTAGACACTTGCTCTGAGTGCAAACACTGCAGTACTACTTACATACACACAAACCACTGCTTAACTACAGCATGCTGCCAATCATAATACTGAATACCAAACAGAATCAACAACTATAAAACCAATTCCTACCAATATATTTTCATTAAAGGCAAAATACAACTTCCCAATTTCTATTTTAGTTCCTGGTCCTTCAGATGCAATATAAATTGAGCAATTATTAAGGCTGCCTTCTTTATCAATGACTTGGTTCTACCTTTTGTTTCAGCTCCATAATATCTAAAGAGGTTGCATTCTGTGGAAAAGGCCAGATCTTATGACATTAACTTACCAAAATGATCTTAAGGAAGATTTCATACTGTCGTACATTATAGAGTAATTCTTTTAACATATATGGCTTCAATTCTACACTCAGGAGTGGGTTGTTTGTGACTTTCTCAAGGATGGCCGTGTAGCGGTATGCCTGATCTTGAGCAATCTGAAGTTGGGAGTCAATATGCTGAGCTGTGGCTGGGATTGCTTCATGCAGAATATCTGGCACTGTTTTTAAAGGTATATTAAGAGAGACATTAAGAAATCTAAAAAAAATTAAGAAGAAAAAGCCTAGAAAATGGCCATATTTTGAGCATTAGGTTTTTAGTTGTTGTTGTTGTTTTCTTTATTGATTTTAGAGGGAGGAAAGGAAAGAGAGGGAGAGATAGAAGCATTGATGAGAGAGAACATCGCGATTGGCCGCCTCCTGCATGCCCCCCACTGGGGATTGGGCCCACAACCTGGGCATGTGCCCTGACTGGGAATCAAACTGGCGACCTCTTGGTAAATGGGCCGATGCTCAACCACTGAGCCACTCCACCCGGGCTTTAGGTTTAGTTTTATGTCAACTAAATTAATAATGTTGAGGCATGTATTTCATGGGTCCCACACCATGAATAAAAAACAAAAAACAAACAAAATACCTTTCCAAACAAAAGATATTGTCAGAATAATAACCAAAAGGTAGAGCAGATCAGATTTTGCCACTAAAATATCCTAAAAAACTGATAGGCTTTGATATTACGTGCTATTGACCACGTGCTTCTAAAACAATCACTGTATCTTTCCTTCTTTTTGTAAAAAAGGAAAAAATCATGCAACTTAAGAAACTCATTGGGACACTAAAAAATAACAAAATACTCTAGCAAAATAGAGAACTTTATGAAGAATGGGAGTTTGACTGTTTAGAACAGTTTTTAAAACGCAAAAATGTACCCCACTGTACTAGATCAGTGATCTAGTCAAAGATACTAACCCCTTATCAGTGGGCCTAGATGTGTACCAAACTCCTAAGGAATTTATTTTTACTGGTAGGTCCTTGATCAAATATTTCATGAGTACTTTCAGACTTATAGATAATAAATGCATTAAATATATTACAGCACAGCAAATGCTCCTGATTTAAAGTTTGAAGATATCTTCTCTTGGACATTTTCATTCCACTAACTGAATCAGCAACTGTTTTATTTTTAGGGTGATTTATGTTTTTTAAATCTTTAAGGTTCCCTTTTGGTTATTTGACTTGGAGTAAAGTACACAAAGTGAGATGAACGGGGGAGGCTGGTTTCCGGGCAGCCTCCTCATTCCTTTCATTGATTCATTCTCCTATACTAGCTTCATGACATAAAGTCTTGCTCCAGCAAAATTAAAGCTTAGTACACATTATGAACTATAGTTGTAACTAAGGTACAATCAAACCTTAAATTTAAGAATAGTAATGGTGTATTGGGTATTATTTCTTCACCATGCAAGTTAAGTTTTAAACCTGTGTTATCTATAGAATTAACTAATGATATACCTACAGAACTCAATGCCTTCTCCTCCCTTTCCGGTCTCTCGGTTAAATAAACGAATTCCAGTAACAATCATGGAGAGTTCTTTCAGCTGGAGTTCTTTGTCCTTCTTAGAAAGAGATAGAAATGTCCCAAGTTCAGCCTGAGGAAAAACACTCTGTAGGGCAGCTAAAACAAACCACAAAATGGATAATCAAATAAAAATATCAAAAGTTAAATCACAAGTTTCTTTCAGCAGAAAGTTAAATGGCCTGTCTTTAGAGAATTACTTATATGATTCTTTAAATTTCTGATTCCTGATTACAGAATACATAGCAAAATTTATCATATATTAAAGCTGGGCTACTGAACTATTGACATTGCCTCATGTCTATCTTTTTTTATTTTTTATCTTCACCCGAGGACATTTTTCCGTTTTTTTTGTTCAGGTAGAGTGGGAGGGAGAGAGAGGAATAGAGAGAGAGAGAGAAACATCGATGTGAAAGGAACACATCGAGTGGCTGCCACCCGCACGACCAACTAGGGCCGGGGACAAACTGCAACCGAGGTACGTGCCCTTAGTGGGAACCGAACCCAGGTCTCTCCAGACCGCAGGCCGACGCTCTAACCGCTGAGCCAAACTGGCCAGGGCGCCTCATGTCTATTTTTAATAATTAACCTCCATCAGTAATTTTTGACAACAGGCATTAAAACAAGCTTTGTAATTAAGAGCTATGAGTAGAAAAATGGATGCTTTAAAAAAATTATGGCCCTGGCTGGTTTGGCTCAGCGGTTAGAGCGTCAACCTGCAGACCAATGAGTTGAGGGTTTGATTCCGGCCAAGGGCACAGTACCTCGGTTGCGGTTCATTCCCAGTCCTGGTTGGGTTGTGCGGGAAGCAACCAGTCAATGTGCCTCTTTCACACTGATGTTTCTCTCTGTCTCTGTCTCTCCCTCCCTTCCTCCCTCCCACTCTCTAACAATAAATGAAAAAGTGTTCCTCGTGTGAGGAATAATAATAATAATAATAATAATAATAATAATAATAATAATAATAATGAAAGAAAACCATAGGAGGTTAGAGATCTTGCCTATTCTTAGTCTTAAAGAATGAAAGTGGGCAAGTATTTCCTGGGGACAATGTCCTTTTCATTCATCCATTTTAGGTGACAGACTCAACTTTTTTCATTAATATGAAAACTCCCTTTCTAGTGGTCCCCATTACCCACTCAGCCTGGTTCCCTTAATCATACTGCCAATGATATTCTAATGAGGAGTAAGAGGTCCCTGTGTATGTACAGCTCTCAGACATTAACAATATTCACTCTCCAGAGGTGCTACTGAGTTTTAGAGTTGATACAAAATGTAAAAGGAGTCTGGGTAAGTTTTAACCTCTTATTTATGCCAATTTTGTTTTCAGATAAAAAGGAATCTTCAATCTTCAATACTTGTAATTTAACACATTTTATAAGATACAGTGTTCATATATTTTCACTATGGAGTGGAAATTGTGTGGTTTTTCTACCTGTTGCCTCTCTGACAATCTTGATATCTGTAGGAGATCCAACCCCAGTGCGCAGTAAAACATAGCTGACAATCTTTCGGTAGAGACTTTCCAATTCTTTTTGAGCACATGCTCTGTTATCTGTAATTTCTCTGGTAACAAAGTCTAATTTAGACTCCAGGATCCGGTGATGTTCTTCAATAAATTCCTCTAAAATTGGCAAAGGACAATGTTCCATATATTTGATACTTAGAATTCTTCTCACATAAGAAAGTAGGACCAGCAAAAGAAAATGGCTTGTGTATACCAATTCTACTTCATGGAAACAACTATTTTCATTTGATGTCATAATAAATAGTGACCTCAAGAAAAAAAATCTTGTCGGAAAGATTTATTACAGCAATTTAAATGGCATACTTGTCAAAACACATAAAACTCTAAATAGACAATTCAGACAGTAATATCAGAGGGCCTAAAACCTCCCAATTAAGCAGAAAGTATACAAGACAATTTTATGTGTGTGTGTGTGTGTGTGTGTGTTTGCGCATGCATGTGCGTGGGCACATATAAGTGTATATATATATAAAATAAACATATATAGTATAAATATATGTACTGCATATATATGCTTTATGTAAGCACATACAGTGTACACACAGATGTAGTGTAAATATTCCTGGTTAATTATGTGTGTTTCTATTTTAATTCTAGATAAATTTCCTTTGACTAACATTACTGATAATATAATGTTGCATCAAGAACATGCTTATCCCTCTCCCTTCTTCCCATGATATGATGAGGCCTACGCTTAATGATGGCAGTAGCCACAATTCACCAGCAGCACAATTCTTGCAACTAACTCAACAAAACATTTCATTTTACTATTATAATAATGAAAATACTAACCATGTACAGTTCACACCTATAGTGTTTTTACAAAAACAATAGAACTTTTTGCAATTAAAAAATCTAAATGATGCCATCAATTTCATCATTGTTTATTGCTTAAATTTTCATTATTATTAAGCAAAAGAGCAAGATATATAATTTTACATATGTAGCATATGTGAAAGTTCAATACATAGAATAAAAAAGAATGGAAATTAACAAGTGGTTAATAATGATTGCATTATAATGGGACAGAAGCTGTAGTCTATAGAGGAATTTTCTTTTTTCTAGCATCCAGTTTTTCTTTGATGTAGCATTAAACCATTATACATAAGAAAATACGTTCTAAACTTAAATTTACCATTATTCATTTCATTTTTGTGTTACATAATTTAGGTATTATGAGATCATATAAACCAGGAACCAAAAAAATAAATTAAAAACTTTTAATTTCAGTGGACTGGTTGTTTTAATTTAATATTATTATGTATTAGAAGTAAAACAGTTAAAACACATTAGACTTGCCCTGGCTGTGTAGCTCAGTTGGTTAAAGCATCATCCAAGGTTTTGAGTTCCTGGTTGGGGAACATACAAGAATCAACTAATGGCCCTGGCCGGTTTGGCTCAGCGGTTAAAGCGTCGGCCTGCGGTCCAGAGAGACCCGGGTTCGGTTCCCGCTAAAGGCACATACTTCGGTTGCAGTTTGTCCCCGGCCCTGGTTGGTTGTGCAGGTGGCAGCCACTCGATGTGTCCCTTCACGTCGATGTTTCTCTCACTCTCTCTCTCCCTCTCTCTCCCTCCCACTCTATCTGTACAAAAAATGGAAAAATATCCTCGGGTGAGGATAAAAAAAAAAAAGAATCAACTAATGAACACATAAATAAGTGGAACAACAAATTGATGTTTCTCTTTCTCTCTTCCTCTCTCTCTCTAAAATCAATTTTAAAACACAATAGACTTGGAAAGATAATTATTATGGGAATAATTAGAATTTACTTTTAACACTCAGAAAGGCCATTTGTGCTTTTCTCCTTTAGCATTTCCAACATTATTACACTATTCTTCAAAATTGGAAAAAATTTCAAAAGACAGACCAAATACTTAAATTGTTCATTGTCAGTCAAATGAAGCCCATATTACTTTAAATACAATATGCACCTTTTTTTTTTTAATCCTTACCTGAGGATTGATTTTTTTCAGATAGAGTGGGCGGGAGGGAGGGGGAGAGAGAGAGAGAGAGAGAAACATCAATGTGAGAGAGACAGATCAATTGGTTGCCTCCCACATGATCCCAACAAGGGCTGGGGTCAAATCTGCAAATGAGGTACCTGCCCTTGATGGGGAATCAAACCTGTGATTCTTCAGTCCACGGGCTAATGCTCTAACTGCTGAGCCAAACTGGCAAGGGACAGTATGAATCTTTTTTAAAAAGCATAAAAAAATAGGTAGATGTGTTACCTCGATTTGTATAATTCATATCAAAGTAGACTTGCATCTTAATGGTGTCGAGGGATGGATTTTTACTGTCCAATAGCCGATTCACACAAAGCTAGGAAAGAATACCCATGAATGCTTCTAGTTATAGTTTCTAAAATGATCTGAAGTGTTTTCTAAAGTTATTTATAAAAATAAGGGAAGCATCAAAGCAATAGTTTCTGATATTTATCAACCAACAACCCTCCTTCTATTTTTTCTCTTTGAGGATTTCATGCTTTAAAATTAATCCATCCAAACAACGACATTTATTAAGTTATAAGTTATTTCCCTGAATTAACCAGTATCACCATACCCAGGTAGGCTAATAGTCTAGTTGAAGGCAAAAAAACTTGACATTTGGTTAGATTGTACAGCCTGAATGTAGGTAAATGGTACATGAAGCTTATAGCTCCTGTCTAGAGCTTTTCTAGAGTTCCTCATTCCTACTTAACTGAGCCTTAAACAATAATCTTTTGCTGATGCTGGAGGTCATATGCATTTTATAAAAAGCTGCTGCTGCTACCCTCCTCTGCTCACAAAATTTCTCTGGCTCTTCTGTTTCACAATGTCTTCCTCAGGTCTGTTTTCTCCTATTTTTCCCCCTTCTCTGTTTTGCCCCCTTAAATCAGATGATCAACCTGAACTTTTCTTTTCTTCTCTCCTCTCCTCTCCACCTCCTCAACCCCACTCTTTCCTCTCTTACTCTCTAGGTTTTATATCTGCAGTTGGCAAGTACATCAGCACCAGCACCCTCACCCCACTTCCCCAGCACCAACCCTGCCTTCCTGGAGGAAAGGAGGAGAGAATGCAAGAGTGAGGACAGGTCACTCTGTCTTTATGAAATTTGTGCACCTGGATCCCTCCAAGTGAAGAAGGACTGTTCTAAACACAGAATTTACAAAGACTACTTCATGCAGGTCATTTTTTTGTACAGCTTACATTCAATATTATCCAGGTGATTTGTAACTGAGAAAAAAATAAAACAAACTTTGTCGTTTGAATTATGATATACATTGATAGTTAATATGTCATATTAAAAGTATATTGAGTTTGCCCTGGCCGGTTTGGCTCAGCGGTGAGAGCGCCGGCCCACTGACCAGAGAATCCTGGGTTAGATTCCTACTAAGGGCACATACCTTGGTTGCAGTTTGTCCCTACCCGGTCGGGGTTGTGTGGGTGGCAATCACTCGATGTGTCTCCCTCACATCGATGTTTCTCTCTCTCTCTCTCTTCCTCCCTCTCTCCTTCCTATCTGAAGATAAGTGCAAAAATGTCCTCTGGTGAGGATAAAAAATATAATAATAAGTATATTGAGTTTAATTCTTTCCAACTTAGACCTTGAGCCATGAAAAGAAGAAAAATATGTTCTGCCCCTCCTTTTTTCTCATCCATGGCTTTCTAATACAATTTCTCATTGACCATCAGTCGTTGCCTCTATTGCTAAGAATAGGTTTTATACCACGTTTTAAAACAGCACAGAGAGACCCAGATCTAGGCTGCCCTAAAGAATGATGGAGTCTGTACTTACTGCACAATCATCCCAACAACATTTTCCCCAGCTCAGACTCCTAAGGCTCTTTCTGACCCCTCTGGCATCTGCAAATAGACCTGTGATCCACTGTGTGAATTGCTGGCTTGAGAGAAGATGGGGATGATGAAAACTTTCTCTGCCATTTGTTTGAGCCCAGAAAATATCTATATACACGTTTGGGTAAAATTGCTTCAAGTCTTTTGTGTAAAAGAGGGAATTAAAATAATTAAGCTCAGGAGAAAATTTTTAAATGTTGACTTTTTAAGAAATACATTTAGGAATATTTAGAAAATAAATATTTAAGCACCTAAATCCAGTGAGTCAAACTTAAAACATTAAAAAATAATAATAATGCTATTCTTTAGTTCTTGAAACTGCTTCTCAGGTACATCTACTTGGTTACTATTAGTTACTTTACTTTGGTTTCAATTTTTCCCTTAGAATTGAAAAACACAAGTTACTCTGAATCAATAAGTATATGAATTTTAATTTAGTACTATGTAATTTTATGACAAGTTGGTTAAACAGACTGACACACCTCAGAGGGATGGGGGTGGGAGGGGTAGGAAGAGATAGACCAAAGAACTTAAATGCATATATATATGCACAACAAATCAACATGGACATTAAGTTGGGGAAAGCAGGAGGTGGGTGGGAGAGGGATGGAGGGGGAAAAGGGAGGACATCTGTAATACTTCCAACAACAAAAAAATTTCAATGTAACATGAGATTAATAACAAGATGTCTCTCTAGACTACTGTGGCAGACACTGCTCCCAGCCAGTATCCATACCCCCCTTTTCCTTACTAACAAAAACCCAATTTGGATTGGGACAAAGATTTGTTCAGCTAAAAGAGGGGGGAAAATCAACATCTCAGGCTGACTTGCAATATCATTCTAGTCAATCAACAAGCAAATGGGAAGGATCCCGGGAAAACTATTATTTTCCTACTAGAAAGTGAGAGATGCAACTGGCACACACATTTTGCTCTTTGTCCTCTCTGCTTATACCTGCCTCATGGTGGTACGAAATCCATATGCATGATATGATGGTGAACCAGGAAGCCAGGAAACCTATGTACCTCCAGACTTTGTTTTATGAGAAAAAATAAATCCCTTATTTGTTTGCACCACCATTTGGTGGTTTTAGTTTCATAGAGCTGAAGTCAATAATGGCAAACACACATACTGTATTTAGAACTGCAAATAAATATTTCAAAATTTGAGAATTGTTGAATGATCACCTTAACAAGTTTCTCCACATCACTTTTTATGAGGGTTCTATCCATGTTAAAGCCATTACTTGGATCAAGGACAACAGCTTTCACCTGAGGGTAGGAAAGAGACCATTAAATAAATTTTATTTCATATTATTATTATTAAATTAACTTGATATGTTTCTATTTTTTAAGCAACTGCCTCTTGATTACTTAGGGGTTGATTTTTCAGCAGACTTTGTTATTACCCAACTCATCAGCACACCTTCGTTAGAGGTTGAAGAAAGGAAGCAATAAACATCAACTTTGAATATGGTGTTAGAAAAATTATATGGAGCAATAGGCTGAAAACAACGGCTAGATTTTAGATTGGGAAACTATTTTAGTATTTTACTGTGTTTTTATTGTGTATTGTTAAACCAAAAACAAACACAGACCAAGGCAATGAGTAATTTTTACAAGTGAACCGAAACACATTATATAAAGCTTCAACACAGTAGTACATTATTGATGTTTCTAAAACTCATCCAAGATCTTCTAAATTAGTCTCTACAATTCTAGAACTGACATGCTTTATAGACTTTTTGTTTAAGTTTATTTATTTATTTATTTTTGCTAATTTGTCCGATGATCTTAATATGTTTTCAACTGAATAACATTTAGAAAAGCTTCCAAGAATTTTAAGAGGAAGATGGGCACCACTTTAAAAACATTTTTTAATAAAGCAGTAATACAAAACAATATTCATTCTTACCATAAAAGCAATCAGCGTGTCAGAAGCCACCTCTCCATAGGATGCACATTCTTGTTCTATCTCTCGAATAATATTCTTTATCACACTTTCTGATTGAGTGGGAGGCATTCTGGCTAAATAAAACAATAATTGATGTTTTAAAAAAATTGTATTTATATATAGCTTTTTCTTCTTTAGATTTCTCTTTATATTTCATTTGTAAAGTCACAATATTAATTAACTTATAAGTTTTTATTAGCATGTAGGCCTCTCCTGTTTTTCATTAGTTAATTTGTTTTATATTTATAAAGATGGAGGACTTTGTTGATGACAGAGAAATTGGGAAAAGTTTCCTCTTTATTTAAATGATGGTGGTCATCATTTAAATAAATTTATATCATATTTTTAAATTAAAAAAAAGGGTAAACAGTATGGGGGAAGTAGAATTAATGAGAAACCCCACCCCAACCTGTGTAGGTAGCAGAGTACAGCTTTAAAGAGGAAATACTCATTCCACCACATTCACCAAATGACCTTTCACAATTATAAGACTCCTGGAAAGCCATGCTTGCTCAGATCATCGAAATTCTCTTTACTGGACATCCAAGTTGGAGTTTGACTTACTTAAAAAACATAAAAATCAAAATTCAAAACATGTTATGAGAGTTATGCATCATTGGGGAAAATGAACTCCTGCTTTTTAATTCCATTTACTATAAACCAGTTAAAGTTGGTAGGTTTTAAAGGTTATGGATGTGCGGATTTTCCTGAGGATCTGAGCACTGGGGAATTTAGCTTGTAAAGAACAAAGGCAATCCCAGGTAGATAAAGCTAACTCTCAGCATTATTAGTGTTCAAGGAAGGTGGCATTTGGCATTTTGTCCAGTACAACCCTCCCCCACCCCACTCTCTGAAGCGCTAAATTACCCGAGTTCTGGCCCTTGAGGGTGCGAGCGGCGCTGAGCAGAGACACGAAGGCTGATTAAAGTCCTAACCTGCGTCCCGGGCCCCTGCGGACGGCAGTGCCCGCTGTCTCCGCCCTGCGGCGGCGCACAGGAGTCCTGGCGGGCTTCAACCCGGCTGGAAGGGATCCTCCAGCGGTGGGGTCTGCCCGCCGCCCTACGCTCGCCTCTTCACGGGGTACATCTTGGGCTCAAGGACACGGAGCCCCGGGTGAGCCGACCTTGGCCGGAGTCAAGAGCAAGAGCCGGGTTTCTGCGACTGTTCCCCGGAGCCTTCAAGGCAGCTGGGCGCTCCTAACTGCCGCCGCGTAACCATGGAGACGGACGCTCGAGACCAAGGGGGCGGGGCCAGAGTGTGGGCGGGGCCAACCTTGCCAGCCTGTTCCCAGAGGATAAGCGAGAAGAATTTTAAAAACCAAACAAAAAACACAAAAGCCCAAATCCCAGGCAGAGAAATGCAGGTTCACGACATCTCAAGGGTGTGAAACAACATTTCTTAAGGATATAAACTTGGTAGTGTGGGAACGTGCGTTTGAAAAAAAGGAGGGTCTGTGGAGGCAGGCGCCAGTTCCGAGAGGATGGGAAAACCAAGGGGTTGTATCTTGAGAAATGGAGTTCATACGAAAGTATCTAGTTTTAAAAAACAAAGGTAAAAAGGATCGCTGTTTAATTTCATGTTTTGTTGTCAAAGGAAGTCCATAACAGGGTGGTCCAAGATGGCAGAAGAGAACTGCACATTCAAGGGACACATGCTAAGGACATAATCCCTGTTTGGAGTTGAGATATTGAGGTTTTGTACTTTAACAATAATGTTTGTTAGGCCAGCCTACTAATATGAAAGTATGAAGTCGGATTAAACTAATATTAGAAATTACATCAAACAACAAAATTTTATTTTTAAACAGGCTAGTGCCAGTAATTTTTCTCAAATTGCAAACAAATATCCGGAACATACTTTAAGGAAATTCCCAGATTACTAAAAAGTGAATCAACACAAAAATACATAAGTCACGGTATAAAATAATTGTATCTATTTTCCCCTTCTAGCAACTTTCCCTGAAACGTGGGTGAAGCTTGTGTAAAAATAGATTTTTAGAGTAGCAAGATATGCAATAGTAAAACACTGAAATTCTAAACAACTGATATTTAAGGAATGTGGAAAAAGAGAGAGAGTAGGTGGGCATTAAAAATGATGTAAGCCCTGGCCGGTGTTGCTAAGTGGTTAGAGCATTGGCCTGCACACTGAAGCATCTTGGGTTCGATTCTCCATCAAGGGCACATACCTGGGTTGCAGGTTCAACCTTGGTTCCAGTTGGGGTGCATGCAGGAGGCAACCAATTGATGTGTCTCTCTCACACTGATATTTCTCTCTCTCCCTCTCTCTCTCTCTCTCTCTCTCTCTCTCTTTGCACCTCAACTTCCTCCCTTCCACTCTCTCCAAAAATCAATGGAAAAAATATCCTTGAGTGAGGGTGAGGATTAACCAAAAAATAATAATAATCATAATGTAAACAAAAGCCTTAAGTGTTTGTCTTACATTTTAAAAAAGCCAAATGCAAATTTTACATACAGTATGACTTCAACTATATTCAGATACACACAGATATAATATATAAAAAGTGTATAAGTCAATTTTCTGATATCATTAGCAGTATTTAAAGGATAAGAATAAGTCATTATTTATCTTATTTATTTATTTTAATCCTCACCAAGGATATTTTTTCATTTATCTTCAGATAGAGTGGGAAGAGGGGAGAGAGAGAGAGAAAGAGAAGCATCAACGTGAAAGAGACACATCAACTGGTTGCCTCCAGCATGACCCCGACCAGGGCCAGGACAAACTGCAACCGAGGTACATGCCCTTGACCAGAATCAAACCCGCTGAGCCAATCCAGCCAGAGCATATCTTATTTATTTTTATTATTATTTATTTGAGTATGGTTAATATCCTTTATAATTTTCTGTTATTTCTAGATTTTCTATAATAAATATGTATTATTATGATCTATAAAACAAAATGAAGAAAAAAATAGTGGAGAGAGGGGCTAGCTTTTGTAGAGACTGAGCCCAGTTTAGAAACTGTAAATATACAAGATAAAACAACCATAAAGAAAGTAATATAGAAAAATTTTAATAGTGATTATATCTGGGCAATGAGATCATGGCTGTTCGTTATACTTTAAGATATCTAGCAACATGTCTTTCATAAGCATATCTTATTTATAAATTAGAATATTAAAGATTTTTTAAGATTGACTAACAAAACAGAAACAGCCTCATACATACAGAGAACAGACTGACAGCTGTCAGAAGGGTGGGGAGATTGGGGAACTGGGTGAAAAAGGTGAAGAGATTAAACAAACAAACAAACAAACCTCATAAATACGGGCAATGGTATAGTGATTACCAGAGGAAGAGAGGGTAGGGAGGTAGAAGAGGGTAAAAGGAGGGATAAAGAATAAATGGTGATGGAAGGAGACTTGACTTGTGAACACATAATATAATATACAGATGAGGTATGATAGAATTCTACATCTGAAACCTATATAGTTTTATTAACCAATGTCACCCTAACTATTTGTTCTTGCCTAGATTACTGCAACAGCCAACTCGCATGAGATTCAAGTTCTTCCTTGGTCTGGCCGCTGTATCTCCAGACCCGCACTGTCCTGTGTGGTAACCACCAATCACATGAGGCTATTTAAATTTAATTAGTTTAAATTACATAAAATTTAGATTTAATTCCTCATTGCACTAGCCAGAAGTGATTAGTGGCTATCGTATTGAATAGTGAAGATATGAAACATTTTCATCATTGCAGAAAGTTCTGTTGAACACTTGTTTCCCCTTTGCTGTGCCTGAACTAAAATTTCCAAATGACTCACCTTTGATGGTTCTGTGCTTTAGCTGAGGCAGCTTCCTTTAATTGCATTACTTTCCCTCCCCAACTGTGCCTTTCAAGACACAGCTCAAATGTCACCCTATTCAGTGAAGTCTTTCCCAACCAAATCTCCCACCCTCATACAATTGGTCAATTCCCATTTGGATCCCCATTGCACTCCATGCAGACCTCTACCATGGCGCCCCTAACACTCCATGTCACCTATTGTGCATGTGTGTTTCCCTTTCCTACACTGTGAGCTTGAGGGGTGGAAGCAGGGGCCCAATCTTATCTGTCTTTGTATTCTCAGCTCCTAGACTAATGCCTGACATACAGTATATGCTAAATAACTTTTTTTTTTGGGTGAATGAATAAATATTACAAATAAATATTCATAAGGTCAAGTTTCTATCAGTCTTCAGAAACAGAAAACAACTCAATTTAAATCCTTCACTGACAGGTGAAAACCATGAAGAAGAAATATATTTTCAGTCACGTCATCAATATGCTGTACAGCCTCTCTTAAGTTCACAGTCTCATGCTAGATTTGAGTTTCACTTAAAGTTAATCCACAAGAGGCATGACCATTTGAGTGGATAATTAAGGTGGTTTGATAGGTAAGGTTAGGTAGGCAGACTGAAGCAATTCTAGCTTCAGCAATTATTAGATACACACCCACAATATTAAAATGAAGTTTTGGCTAGCATTCAAATATTTATTAAATGCCTAGGTGTCAAAATAGTTTATTGGGACATTTTTTATTATAAAAGTAATACATGCTCTTTATGGAAATTTTGGGGGAGAGCCCATCACCTATAGTTACATTATATAGTTAACATGTTTGTGTAATTTTTATTCATGCATGTTTGCTTTACATTCTTATCATACCTTATGTTATCTTTTACACTTAACATTACAACACAAATAGTTCCACATCTAACTATAGCCTCTGTATACATTATTTTTTAAAATTCTCACCTGAGGATATGTTTATTGATTTGACAGAGAGAGAGAGAGAGAGAGAGAGAGAGAGAAAGAAAGAGAAATAACAATGTGAGAGAGGCACGTATATTGGTTGCCTCCCGTATGCACCCTGACTAGGGATCGAACCTGCAACCTTTTAGTGCAATAAATGATGCTCCAACCAACCGAGCCACACCAGCCAGGGCTGTATACGTTATTATTATGATTATTATTTTTTTTACAAAAAAAATGTTTTTATTGTTTTTTTAGAGATAGAAGAAGGGAGAGAGAGATAAAAACATCAATGGACTGCCGCCTGCAGA